ATAATAATAGTAATAATCACCTTGGTGGTCCCGAAGGTCAGGAGTAGGAGACAAGAACTCTCCAGTCACATATATTGTTATTGACCAGATAATATATGTCATATGGGATTACCTCACGTGAGTTCTTTCGAGGGTGGCATCTGATCAACGATATATTGTTTCGATGACTTCGATGACATACAGATGCATTATTTCTTTCTATTCCTACACAGTTTGGCAGCTGGACAATCTGTTATCGATATATGTTCCACTGTGTGAGTCAGAGTTTAAATCAGATATCGTGGATATCAGCCCATTAATAGGTGTAAGAATATATTGTGCCTGCCTCATTCTCTTGGGACAAATTCATTTGCCTCCAAAATTTGCAACACAATTATTCAAACAGATCGTCGGTCTATCAGTTGATCACTTCATTTCCCTTGGTATTTTGAGACAGTTAGGATATTCGTTGTGTCCATGAGTTGGGGAAGCGCCAAACAATGCACAAGGTAAGGCCATGTTGTACTGTCGTGCCGGATCTAGTTTCGAACCTAACAGCGAGCTGGAGGCACGGAGCTGGGCACTTAAAGAGAGTGATCGTGGTAGGACAAAGAATGCAGACTGTGAATCAAACGGCTGACCCGGGATGTTTAGAAGTGTGATTTTCAGTGAGGTTTTACGGCACCACAAACTGTTTTTCATGCCCATATTACGCAAGTGGAATCTCCCATAACGTAGGATGCTTTTCTGTGTATTCAATTTAGTAAATAGAAGCCATGGTCATATAACCAGCTCATGCGAGCGGTGTAGACGATGTTTCACGGAACAACAAATTACTTGACTTGGACTTATCCTACATGTGGAATTTCTCATGGAGTAGGTTATATTCCTCTGAATTCACTGAGTACGCAGGAGGCCTGTTCAAGTGATAATCGTGGATGCGTATCTGAATGCATTTGAATAGTCCACATTCCTCTTCTCAACAGCCACGGATGCTGACAAAGTGTATGAAGGGACGCCGGATACTGTTAACTTCCAAGGGAGAATAAGTAAGAATGCTCACACAAGTGGATCAAAAAGTGTCGAAAATTCTATTGGGAATGCCAGTTCTCCAGGAAGCACAATAAGTCCGGAGCCAGTCGGTCAAAACTTTGCTCATAATTGCCCGGTATGTGGACAGGAATTTCAGCATCAATCGTATCTCATAAGGCACCAGAAATCTCACAACACCCGTCGTGATTTCAAATGTAATATTTGTCCAAGCGCCTACAAGTATTCGTTCAACCTTGATAAACACATGAGGAAAAAACACGCAGACAACTCTCTTCCGCTTAGGAAGTCAACTAGGGCTCAAATTTATGCATCGGAACAGGCAGGACATCCATGTTCTGAATGCGGTAAACATTTCAACGATTGGGCAGGTCTGAGAAAACATCGAAGAGCTATACATCCTGAAGGAGTGCGTCATGTTTGTGAAAAGTGTGTTGAGTCTTTCCCACGTGAGCTCGATTTACAGAGGCATATCAGCCAGGTACATGAACATAAGGCAAGATATATTTGCCCTCACTGCGGAAAGTCATTCACACGTTCGCGGATTCTGCTGAAGCACATTAGGAACGTGCATCAACGTGATCAATCTGATGAGAATCTTGTGGGTCAACAGCACTACGATTAACCACTCAGTAATGATGAGTGTGACTTCGAGTGTAATACAAGTTTGTCTCCCTTGTAGCGTTCTTTTCACATTACATGCAACAATGAAATCGATGAAAAGTTTCTGAGTTGGCTGTTTTTTATCTGAACTCACTGCTACTAATAAACCAGCTGACCACAAAGTAAGTATTTTATCCATTAGCCGACTATCGGTTGTGCATCGGTTGTGCAATATTGCTACTGATTGTGGGGCCAGAACAGCATCGTTGGAAGAGCAACCAGCCTCAGGAAGGGTTTAAAATGAGGGTGCTTCTGAGAGGACGTTCCTCGTTTGAAGGTTTTCTGGGAACACTATGATCCCCAGACGAAACCGTATGTTAGCCTCGCATATTATCTGAGCGTCGATGAACGGGTCAGGAGGCACGAGTGGGAACGGAATGGGAATCCGGTGGCATTCACCAGAATCTGTTTATCAGGTAGACCATGGAGTACCCATGTTTGTTCCTGACTTTGTGGAATTGCGCGTGTATTTAGTTTAGGTGCAGTTTGTTTTATCAGACGAGACGTCGTGCCGGGACGTGACAAAATACTTGTCATCCTTAAAATTTTTGTTTCAAGAAACTCATAACATGCTCGCAATATTTGGCAAATAATTGTGAACTTGTTCAACGTGATCCAATCTCTGTTGTGAAACATCTCAGTTCTATTGGCACTCTGATTAGCAGTGGTCAACACCTTAATATTGTGATGGAAAATCTGTTATTGGATGGTCGTCACAGAACCTTTGGTGACCGCCGGAATGACGAATATATAACAGACGAAACTCACGCTATTCTTCGGTAATGACATTGTTCTTCGAGGGTCTGGCAAAGCAGTGTTTATTTCGGTGGACACGCGAAAACTGCCTTCTCCGCAAGTCTCAATATCTTTGTTCTCATCTTCGTCATTTTCACCGCGTCTCCACCTTGAATGTGGACCATATCTGCTCGCAAGCTTGTTTGCATTAGGTTGACGCAAGACCCGCGAGCCGCGTCCAGCGGCGATTCGACGCTCTGTGCCGACACCAAGACCAGGACGATTGGAATTAAAAGCCGCAACCATATGTAGTCGACAGGTCCAACTAATCACACAGGCATGAACGTTATTTAGCGGTAAGCGAGCAAGATTCTCATTAGAAAGTTGAGGCGATGCTGCAGGAAGCCAGGTCCAATGTAAAACTCAAACCGCCTCTGTGGTTGTGCTAATGATCGCAATTACTCGCGATGTCTATTAATCATTAGTTTTCTTCGTTTGCTCCGATCTGCATCCCAATTAATCAATCCGGTTATAATGGGAAGAACGATACTAAGGGAATAGCGTGTCCCTTTTAGCAAAACGAGTGCTCTATGGATGAAAAGATATCCTTAGGCATTCTAGTTGGAGAATTCCATCCGGGAGTGACATCTTCTCCATATAATGTTTTGTGAAAATCTGCAGACTGTTTGATGACTCTATACCATCACTTCAGATTTTTTCCACCTCAATCCATTTCCTTCATTTTCAATTAAGATATTGAATTCCTAACACAACAGGCTGCTTATAGCTTCTCAGCTGGCCACCTCTGCTCGACTTCAATAAATATATTTGAGACGAATTAGTTTGAAGTCAATCAGCAAGATGTGCTACATGGGTCCTGT